TGGCTTATACATGACCCACATGCTGCCCGAATATGTGGTCTACCTGGCCAGGTTGTGACGGTTGTGATAGGCTGTGAAGGTACCTTTTGTAGCATAGCACTCAACGAACTAAATGTTTTTCTCGGCTTAATCTTCCAGGTTTTGCAACTGTCCTTGCAGGATGAAAATTGATTCTTGAAAGGACCAGCGGCTGTGGCTTTTCAGGGAGACCCTTTCTGTTCACTGGATCCTTTGTCTAAATTAGTCAGGGCCAGATCCATGAGCCAGGCGTCCTTCAATCCGTACATCAAACTTCCAAGGCCCTTCTGCTGCATTCTGTAGACCGTACCGAAGTATGGATTCCAAAACCATCGGTTTCTGGCTAGCGTAGATTTTAGGTCCGCTTGTTTGCAAACATGTATTACAGATCCCTGAATAGAGAAAGATGTATATGGACCCGCAAAGAAAGGGAGGCCTTTGCAGTTTGCAGACTGCCACTGATTAAATGATTCCAGCAGATGAAGACTTCCAGTTGCTTCCTCGGTCGCTTCGCGCAGGCTGAGGCGGAAGAGCAAAAGCAGTAGCCTTGGTGATGGAAACCATAACATTTAGGAAGCCGAAGGAATACCGAAACGCAGGGGTACTTGTAAACCATGCACCAAAGTTATGCCAATAGGTTTACAAGTACTGGCATTTTCAACCCAAAGCCCCGCGCTTCATGGATGCTCTTAACGTACCAACCTCCACGGCTGCTGCTCAGGCGTAGTAGCTCCCTTGCCAGATCCAACGGGCTGAATAGTCCTGGTAGACTGTAGGAACATGTAGGAACTGCTGAAGAAAGTGGGCACGAGATGCCCGACCCGTGAAAATCCGGGGCGATTCTCGGCTTTCGAATTTGTCCGACACTTGGACATTAGCATAAAGAGCATGTTTTTTGCACCATCTCCAATAGAGGGATGGAGATGTACAGCGACTCGTTTAGTGGTCCGGTTTGGAAATCACCAAACACGTGTTTCCAGCCTTGTGACTAGGGCTTTGCTGTGGTTTTCCCAGGACCTTGGAATGGAAAGCTATGGCGAGCCTCAGAGATGCAGACTCCAGAGGAAAAAAGGTTTGTCTTGACGCTTCTTCCCTATCTGGCTATTGGGTGCAAACCATTCAAAACTAATGTTGCCATATTTGTTTGATGATGAACATCTAGTTGCCAGCCGGTCTTATGTTCAGAGCGCCCACCACTTGAAACCAATTGCTGGATTTGACATCAGCCAACAGAAGCCCTCAAGAGCCCAAAGTGGCTCACAGGCTCGAGCAAAAGGACACGGACAGCAGATACGAACTCAAGAGAACAGAAGCTTCAGCCCAAATAGTTTTGCACATGTTCCCTCAAGCTTCTACCGCTAAAATTCAGCCATCGACCACCATGCACTGAGTAGCGTTTCTTGCCAATGCTGCTGAAGGTTTCGAAGCTTCTTGACCTTCTCCACGCAACCTGATTACATTGCAAGTTGAATACGTCGAATGTGCATTGATGGTGGAACCCCAAACCACACCACTTTTTTTCCTTGCAGGCTGCTCGTGATGGTGATTTGGAGGCCCGCTGTACTGAAAGCCTACAGATACCATCAGATACCTACAGAACTGGCTGAAAGCCATGAACAGCGCAGCCAACAGAAATTGCCCATGCTTTCATTCCCGCGGCGAGCCACGAGCTCAAGCGTTGAGCCGAGCTAGGAAGTTTGCTAAGGTTGTCTTGAACGCACATTTTACATTCATTTGGCCCAAATGGTCATTCAATGGGGACAATGATAATAATTATGATATATATATATAATAATTATACATTGGACTCGGAGGTACCCATTGTCAGACAAACTCATTTTCAGACAGTCTGCCATGAAATATTCCCAAATCTCGGTGACGAATATCAAACTGTTTTGTAGTTGCCCACAAGCAAATCCTACTTGATCCCCACTGACGGACGTTGTCACAAGAGATCATGCAGCCGGCATTTCTGAGCCATGGGTCATTGGTACTCAGGTGCCTTACTGTTTGAGGTGGTTTCCAACCTGTGGTTTCTGAAAGATGTTGGAACTCAGCTCCAAGAGTCGCTTCATTTCGTTTTGGATTCTCTGGCCTCCACTGTTTGAATATGTTTGGGTTCTCCTTTGGAGTCTCCTTCTCGAGCTGCCCAAGACTTACAAACGTCTGCATCGCTCTTTTCCAAGATGGCGTCAAGTTGTTGCATGTTCAGTCACCAGTTTCGTGGCAATCGTGCGCACCTCACTCCACCTAGGCTTTGTCTGAAAGTAGCTGGTCCCTAAAATCCAATGGCTTTTCGATTGGTTCATCATCATTTTCCAAATTTTAAAAACCACATTTTTTTGGGGGGGTTTTCCACCCGTTTTTGGAGAACCTCCGTGCAGGCGCGCCACTCCGCCCTGTCCTTCATGCCGCTTCTCATGGCAGGGGACAGGCACGGGGCCTCCGCGCTGGTCCCTTGGGTTTCTTGGGTTTCTTAAGATGATCCCGAAAACCATTGCTTCAAATGGTTGCAATACTAAAATGATTTCATTTTGGATTTGGGGTACCATTTTAGGACATATCGGGCTGGAAGACACCTGCGCGTGGGCAGGGGCTGGAGAGCACAGATTTTAGGTGGGGAAACGACTGGGAATTAACATGAATTAACGCGATACAATGTAATGTTTTTTTGTTTCAGCCCCCCATGGATGGTTTTAACGGAAAAGCATGTCCAATTCGGTGGGTTTCCAATGTGGCATCTCCAAGGTGTTGGCCGCTTGGAATGGCACTGGGCTTCATGCAGCGCCGGAGTCACTAGCACTTGATACTGGTTGTTCCCGTTGTCTATTGGTTCCTGTTATGCCATGTTGGTGCAATCATGTGCAATCCATGTAAACTTCGTAAAATGATGCAATATGACATAATATGACTATTGTCACAGATGCTTTGTCACTTGATGCGTCTCAACGTCTCAATACTTGGATGATCTGGGATGGTTGTTGAGGCTCTCGCAAGCTTACCCTGCACCGGCAACGAAGCCATACGCAGCGCTGCGGAGTCAGTCGCAGGTGGGGATGGGTCTATCTGGGCTCCCTGGGCCGTGCATTTGAACTGATTCCAAGATGGTCTTCATTACGGTCTGAATTTTGCAGTCGGTGTATTAGACTATCAGACAACCAATTGAAGTCCTGATTGCCAATGATATGAAGTATATACAGTATATATATATTTCACAGCTTCGATCTACCAGTCTGAATTGATGGAGTTTCCTGTCTTCTTCTGTCACTATGAAATGTGATGGTGGTTGAACAACTGGCCATTGAAATCAAATTTCAACCAGAAGGCAGATGAGTGGACTCAGTTTCACTCCCATCCCACACGTGTTTCTGCATGTTTTTCCAGCCAATCCCAAGATGTCTGGATTCCCCTCACAGGTTGGAGATGGACGGGAACGATTTCACTTTGGAGGGTGAACGTCATCGCATCTTGTCGGGCTCTGTGAGCTACTTCCGAGTCTTGCCCCAACAATGGCGCGATCGCTTGGAGAAGCTGAAGGCACTGGGGTGCAATGCAGCTGAAGTCTATATTCCTTGGAATCTTCATGAACCTGAACCAGGGACGTTCAACTTTGAGGGGCGCTGTGATTTGCTGACTTTTCTGAGCCTTTGTCAAGAGCTGGAGCTGGATGTGCTCTTAAGACCTGGGCCATATATTTGTGCAGAATGGGATCTGGGTGGTCTGCCCTGGTGGTTGCTGAAACGCCCGGATCCTGTACCTTTGAGGTCGTCGGACAAAGACTTCCTGACGGCCGTGCGCCGCTGGTGGAGTGAGCTCTTGCCGAAACTCGGGCCCTTTTTGGCGGCTCGTGGCGGGCCTATCATCGCCATGCAAGTGGAGAATGAGTATGGCTACTGGGGTGCAGACAAGAACTATTTGGAGGAGTTGAGGACTATTTTGCTTGAGGAGTTTGGCAGTGATTGTCCCTTACTATTCACCAGTGATGGTACATTTTGGCCAGACCTACAGCAGAATGGTGGCTTGGATGGCATGCTGCGCACCGCCAACTTTGGCTCAGATCCTGCACAGCGACTAGCAGAACTGCGTGCAGCACAGCCCCAAGGGCCCTTGTGCAATATGGAGTTCTGGATAGGCAACATGGGGTAGGGCTGAAAATGCTATAAAATGCTTAGAAAATAAAGAATCTGACCAGTTTGATCCAGTTTGGGGCCATCACTTCGGCATATTTTGGCGCTGCTTGCGATTGGTGGATCCATTCTTGGGGTTTCAGAAGCTCAACCCACTCAGCAGTGTTTTTTTTCGTGTGACATGAGCCTCAATCCGCCTGGGTCGCCCATCCCGCAGGCAGCTTACCAAAAGAGTTTGACCAATTTGACACTTTGGGAATGACATGGATTGCTTTTTGTTACTACCGCAAGATGAAGGAATCAAATATTTCCCACATATTTTTACAAGTTGTTCATGTTCTTTCTAAGTCGCCAAGGTCCCCGGTTGCCCACGGTTGCCCATGGTTGCCCTGTATCATCACCCCCGTCGCCTTCCTGCGGGGCAGGTTGGTTTGATGCCTGGGGAGCTTTGACTGGAAAGAGTTTTCGAGATCCTGCAGATGTAGCCAGGACCTTGCGAGACACCTTGGATGCTGGGGCATCTGTGAACTTCTTCGTGTTCCATGGGGGCACCTCTTTTGGCTTCTGTGGTCCCGGTGGAAACATCTCCAATGTTGGACTTTATGAACCTCAGGTGACATCATATGATTATGGTGGCTTATTGGATGAAGCCGGGGAGGTCACTGAGAAGTATTTGCGATGTCAGGAAGTGCTGGCAGATTTCCTGCAGAAGCCAGAGCTGTTGGAGAAGTCCTTTCCAATGTCGCGGCGGCTGCCGGAATCGCCGCCATTGGAATTGGAGGCATCGCTATCACTGGAGGAGTCTTTGCCTGTTATGGCTACACCCATCACCTCAGCTGTGCCTGTGCCTGCAGAACAAGTGGGTTTGGGCTATGGCTACATCATGTATCGGACCAAGGTTCCCAGCACCAACAAGCTGCCCCTGACCTTTGGCAAGGAAGCCATCCGAGACTTCGCCAGCGTCATGACGGAGGGACGGGTCTTGGGGACCATCTACCGGAACGACACCCGTCCGGGGGCGAGGGAGTTTGATCTGCCGGAGCAGGGCTGTCATTTGGAAGTCCTGGTGGACATGATGGGCCGAGTGAATTTTGGCCCGGCCCTCCTGACAGAACGCAAGGGCCTCGTTGGTCCGGGCAGTGTGCAACTGGGATCACCCTTTACTGGCCCGATGCGTGCAGTGCTGGGATGGGAGATTTTTCCCCTGCCGATGGATGAAGAAATGTTGTCGGAGATTCCATGGGATACTCGCAAGGTGAATAGGCAGTGGAACCGGGGACCTCGCTTCTTTCGGTATGTCCTTCACGTTCAGCAACCTGCCGACGGCTTTTTGGCCTTGGATGGATTCAAAAAAGGCCAGGTTTCTTGCAGTGAGTCGACGGTTATAGGCTATAGTTACAGGGACTTAACTTACAATAAGTCAATTGATCTCAATTACATGGACATCAAAAATGGTGGGTAATTGAGTTATTGTAATGGTGGGTTGAATGTTATTTTGTGAATGTTCCTCTCTGAAATGCCTTGCGCCCCTAAAAAACCAGGCTTCGCTGTGATCAACGGCTTCAATCTGGGCCGCTACTGGGAGGTGGGCCCCCAGAGATCATTGTACATCCCTGGACCCGTTCTTCAACGAGGGCGCAATGAGGCCATCAGACCATCAGATACAGGGCTTGGGTAGCAGAAATGCACTGAAGTATACTGAAGTTGCATTTCCAAGCATGTCCAAGATAGCAGTTGATCCTTGAGTCCTTCACATTCCTGACATACCTGGTTCAAGAATCCATTTTTGATATTTTTGCATGTCTTCGTCAGGAGTGTGTGTGCATATCTCACAAAAACACAACATCTGGAAGCCAAGTGACTGCCAACATGCCACCATCTTCATGCCAAGTGACTGCTGATCTTTGGAGGATTGGTTTTGTGCCAGGTCTTGATTTTCGACATCGACAGCCCTGCCTGTGATAGGGCCCCTCCGGCTCCCAGGATTGTGCTGCTTCCTCAGATGTGGACCCAAGGACATTGCGAAGGAATGGAGAGAAAGGGGCACATGCGAACACACATCATACCGGAATTTGTGCAAATTAAACGTTTGGAGAATATGTCGCATCTTGAGAAGTGATTGTGCTCTTGACAAAAAACGGGTGGCAAGTGCAAGTATAGAGTGAAGTCTAGCCGTTCCACGGACGTCAAGCTCCATCACAGCCGAAGGGGACTCTCAATTTTTTCATGCCCTTGACATCCAGAGACCATGGATGATATTGTTGATCCACCTTGGCTGCACCTTCTCTGAAGTGCTGTCGAGGTCAAAAGCCATTTGGTCCTCAGGCGTTTTGCCAGCAGGAGCAAAGGTGGGATGGGTGGGGATTCAGTCCATGAAAATGTATCAATATATACAGTATATATATATTATATTATATAATATATATATATATATCGTGTAATGCTTCCACAGTGATCAAGTTCCTTCAACTCTGTGACAAGGGGAGCTCCTGCCAGTTCACAGGAAGCTGCAGCAACTGTCTCAAGTATCTTCCAATCCTGGACAGCTTGAGACGATCTGGAGCAAAGACTCCAGAGATATTTGCCCAAAGTGGTTTGTACAAAGCTGTGTCATGCTGAGTACCAAAGAAACATCTATGCAAATTGATTTCTGGAAAACGAAGGTGGCAGAAGGCCAATGATTCGTCACTACAGTCAGAGGTGTGGTTTGCAGCTAGTGACAGGTGGTGTTGAGGCTACTCTACACCAATCCTTTCATCCGTCCACAGGAGCAGTGGCAAAGAGGGGCAAAGCAGTTGAAAACCTATCTTGTCCAAAGATGGTCACACCCTGGTATCATGCTTCATCTTTGATTCCGAAACTGGTTTGATTTACCAAGAAAAGATTTGAATATGGGTCAAGAATTATCAATGCCCCAAAATGGATGCTTTTCATATCTTTTTATAACAAAAGCAACCAAAAAGTGACCAGCCATTGGTGGGCCCAAAACTGGATCAGGAGTTGTGCGACTCCCTGTGGGAAGCAGCTCGCGGATGCAAACTGGAGGTAGCTCTTGCACCTTTCTGCAGTCAACAAGATACTGTACAATCTGATACAATATGCATGTTTATGACACAAATCGGGCTTTTTGAACGGCGCTTGTGTTGGACAAGCTCCGGAGAAGTAACCAGCTCTTGACACGAAAAGAATAGCGCTGGCCACTGGAGGTGCTGCGAAGCCTGTTGGAATTTCGGGTGGATCCCACCTGTGAGCCATCCCCGAGCATCAGTAGTCCACTAGCACCTCTAAGGCGCTGGGGCTGCTGGTGCCGGTCATGCATGTGTATGTTAATATGTATACGTGTATATATATATATATATGATATATGTATGTAGTAGACATATATATATATATATATGTATGTATATATATAATGCATATATTGACATGGACTGTACATGACACTTTTGTAAAACTGACTAACAAGAATATGGTGGATCTTTTGAATCACTAGAAGTGCTTCAACCACACATCTCAGCATGTCTCGGGATGTCTGGGTACAGCTCTGCAAGGCAATTGCAATGGACGCCACTTGTGGCTTTGGCCGTGAACGACAGCACCTTGTCCTTTTTGAAAACACTGAGAGTAATGGAGGGTCAACAACTTCTGCACATTCATCCTGTCCGAACGGATCCAATTTGGTGTCAAGGTCCGGAAAGAGCTGCTGTGGTTGCAGAGCTGCTATCGTACGGGTCCGATGGGTGAGAGCCTAAGAAAGCGCGTGTTGGACTTGCATACCCTCTGGTAAACTAAGATAGCTATGGAAAGATCCACCATTTTTAATGGGAAAACTCACTATAAATGGCCATTTTCAATAGCTATGTTAAATTACCAGAGGGTATTGTAAGTTGCTTCAACTGTTCATGACGGAACCGGAGTCAACTCTTCACTTTTGCACTAGTTTGGAGGTGCATGAGCGAGAATGGATACGGCCACAACCGGAACAAGGTGCTCCCCAGTGTCAGTGTTGAAACAGATAGCTTTTGAGGCGTGGTTCGAAAAGGACTGCTATCTCGTTGAGGTGGTGGATTGCAACATTGGACCTTCCATGGCGCACAAGACGCCGAAGGAGCCAACAACAAAGTGTTGGGGCACCCAGACTATGTTTGCATCAAGACTTTGGACCTCTCAAAAGAAAGGTCTTCCAATGCAGCCCGTATGAAGAATATCAATCTCTTGTGGTTAAATTGTTGCCATTGCTATATGTTGCCATCGTCGTTTTCTCGAATCTTTGGATCCCAGGGAAAGCCTCGCAGACGGATGCCCCGTGGCCACCGGAGCCATCCTTTCCCAAGGTGTTGATGGTGAGCAGCTCAGCAGCTCAGCCATGCCATGAAGCCATGCCATGAGCTGGGCACTTCGAGGCCATGCCACCTGAGATGGATTGCTGGGAAGACATCGTTGCGCAGGAGGCTGGTGAAATATGGTGAAATATGATGAACTATGGTGAAGTGCCAAACTTTCTGAGATGGCAAGAGCTGCTGACTGACTACCTTTTCTATCCTTTTCTGTTCACTGTTCACGTTGCGTTTTGGGTTTTGACATTTTTGACGTGACCTTTCGAGTGACGACCAGTCCATCCCAGGACCCAATCTGCTGCCAGGATCTCGACTCCATGGAAGCAAAGTTGGAGGCATCCGATTTCTTTGTTGGCAAAGCTGATGCCCAATGTAGATGCTTGGTAACCCCTGGCGATGATGGACTGAATACTGTTTGCTCCACATGGAAATTGATTTGGTATTTGTATCATTTGAAGCACGCAGGCCTTGTTGCATTCTCTGCGGCGACGGCGCTGTTGCCTTTTGGAGCCGAAAAGCTTTGCTTGAACTGGCATCAATGCAGCACTTACTGAATTCACCCAGAAGCAGCAAGGTCTGAACAGAGAGTGACAAGTTCCTGCGAGTCTATAGTTCTCTTGCATCGTTGTAACCATAAACGAAGACAGGGAATGAGATTTGGCGCCTGTCAGTGCCTAGCACAGCCGCAGGAGAAGCGATTGCAAAGTGTGCAGCGCAGGTCCGCAAAGAAGCATCCAGAAAACCTGTGAACGTAGGGTTTGAGTGGAAGAGCAAAACTGTTTCATTGATGGTTTGCATAGTAGCCTTTCGATCTGGAAAGTAACTTGTCTTCGTTACTTGCACATTCAAAGACAGGAATGTCTCTTTCAAACTGTTCGCATGTTTGAGAAGATTGAAAACGGGTCACCCCTAGTGAGAGTGCAGCCTTTCCAGTTCTGCGCAGTGAGTAGTGGATGCTGGATGCTGTTCTTTTCAAGAGTTTGATTTGATAATCAAGAGAACTTTCCAGGATGACCAGATCCCCAAATGAAAGGATTTACAGTATCTCATGAGTTAGTCGAGGTGTTTCTATGCGACATATGTCAGCAATGCACTGGGCATGGGATTTCTCCACAGCAGGCACGAGGAAGTGTGTCTGTCGCTGAGACCTGGAGATGGTTCAGATGTCCAGATGGTGTTTGGTGGTGCTGCATGGTGGCAAGATGGCATCCCTATCCGTCATCATCCATCATTGAATCCAAGGTCGGAATCGACAGGATCTTGAAGAAGAGCAGGCAGGGTGTAGGAAACCAGCTCCGAGTGTGGGATGGGAACCCATCCTTTGGTGCTTCTGTCACTCCGCCCAGTGCTGCGTCATCTGCACTGAGCTCCCCAAGACAGTGGTGTTTATGCCCTGCAGGTTGGGGAAATGGGTGCAGCGAGACAGGGCAGGGTTTAGAATAGTTGGGTCATTGCATTAAGCTTAAGAAGCTCAAACCCGCAGGTATTTTGTTGATCGTGGTATTGATCTTTCTTTTTTATTTAAAACAAAATTCAGCTTTCATTTATTTCTCTGGCATTAGAAGTGATATGCCATCCCTAGGCATCTGTGCACATGCTCAAAGTGTTCATTGCCACTGTCGTCTACTTCTCAGATGACCTAACATATACCTATACTTCAGCGGTGGTGGCCAGTACGGCCTTCGTCTGAAAAGAAGCACTTCAACACCCGTTGCTGCCCTTGTCATCTCAGGCTTTGCCCAATTTGTCGGGCAACCATTGCTGACAAGGTCAATTGCATTCACTCTTGATGGAAAACGGGGAGTCGTTGCTTGCCCTGACTGTCCGATTAACATCCGATGCGTACAGCATGCCGTGCATGCCTTGTTTGGAAAGATCCACAGTATGTTTGAAGCTATTGCTCAAAGCACACCAAACACTTGAGCCATGATTTCAAGACAGTAGCATGAGACCACTTCCACTATAGAGACTAGAGGCAACTGCGCGAGATGGTTGCACACAGCATTCCTAGTCGAGTTTTACTGGGAAGCTTTGTTTTGAACTTCGACAGCTTCGTCACATCATCGTTTGCTCCATCAGATTGGGGTTTAGCCATGCGTGCCTGGCTGTTTTTTTCCACGATCCCTCTGTGCCTTACCTTTACACCGAGTTTCCGTGGGCATCTGCCCTCAGAAGCGTCCGGGGCTTCCGGGGCTTCCGGGGCTTCCGCCTCCAACGACTTCAGTGGTGTGCTGGGTCGGTCACTGGGCTCCAGCTGTTTTGTGGCCTTGGGGGTTTTTGGACTCAGCCATGTCCGAGGCCGAAGGACTGCGATGCGTGGCTTGAAAGATCGTGTGAAAAAGAATTTCAGTGTGAAAAGCGCCATGATCCGGCGACTTGGCAAGTGGCGCTTGATGAAGGAATTTGATATGCGGAAGCAGATTATGGAGGATCCCATGATGGCCACCCGGTGTGGCACAACACAAGCAGGGCTCATTGAAGACTTCAATCGAGCCTCCAATCACCTCAAGGCCACCCTTGGTCTTGATGACCAAAGTGCGGAGATTTGCATCTCCAAAGTGGCCACAGGGCTCAACATGCAGTACTTGGGGAAACCCAATATCCCATCCAATGAGCAGATGAACACAGTCATGGACTGGCTGGCAGAAAATCTGGAGGTCGGCAAGGCCGATGGATCCTTGAAACGTGTGGTTGAGCAATATCCCTTTGTCTTGGGTCGAACCATTGATGACTTGGAGGAGTCGCAGAACTTTTGCCCAGAGGATATTGACTTCAAGGTCGCAGTATCTGATGATCCAGCTTTGATTGACAAGACATACAACTGCCAGGGAATTTGTGCATCGCAGTGTGTGGCCTGTTGGTACAATGGATAAACTTTAAAAATGCTTTAAAATCTTACATTCAGCCGAAAGCCTATGCCAAGCATTGCTCCCGGCGTAGTTTTCCGCGAAAGCCTTTACCTTTTCCACAGTTCTAGGCTCGCAAGCCATGAGCATGAACCAGGGACAAAAGGTGACGAGTATAAGCCTCCATTCACTGATGTAATTTGGAGAAAGGCTTTGATGTTTCATGATCTGCAGTTTTGGTTTCTTGTTCTCCATGTCTCGATCCTTTTTTTGTCTCAAGTGCAAGATAAAGGGATCCATTGTGGCCTGGGGAACTCCCGCAGCCATGAAGATTGAGGAGGCAGTGCCAAAGCCCTGGCCAGGGTGGGAGTCCATTTTCTATTTGGCTAACGTGGCTAAAGTGGCTAAAGTTCTCCAGTTGCACTCCAAGAGCTTCAACTTGCTTCAAAAGTTGCCAGGTGCAATCCACAACCAAGACTCAGCGCATTGCGACCCATAGCCATATCAAGGGCCTGGGGCTTGCAGAGGCACTGGGGATGTAGCAGAAAGCTATCACTGGATGCAGTTGCAACTGCCAAGTAGATAATAATACACACAGTGAGACAAACTTTGGAGTATTGATCCATTTAACCCATGTTGGAAAACTTGGGAATATATATATACATACACACATACATACATATATACATATATATATGTATATATATATATATATTGCACAACTTTGGCAGGTCTACTGTCTACTGACCGCCAGGATGGAACTGCTCAGCCAGTGGCGTCAGGCCTCGTTGGGTGCGGAGTCCCAGTTTTTTTCGCTAAGCGGAAGCGATCTGTTTGGGATTTTCCATGGGCTTCACTGGCATTTGGGGATGGGTCAAAACCTATTAGTATCATTTTTAGTGGGATGAACATCCATTTACCAGCTATTTTGATGTTCACCAGGGGGATAGGGTTTTGACCCATTCCCATTGTTGTATTTCAACTTAGCAAATCCCTTTATCCTGGGCAGGCAGGAGAAGGCACGGGAAGCATGTGGCATTACCGTGGACCTCATCAAATCGAAGAAGATGGCGGGCCGGGCTTTGCTGATGGCTGGAGCCCCTGGCACCGGCAAAACGGTCAGGTTCTTAGGCACCTGGGGATCAAGGGGGTGTACCCTCTGGTAAACATACAAAAAGCTATTGAAAATGGCCATAGAAATAGTGGATTTTCCCATGAAAAATGGTGATTTTCCATAGCTATGTTAGTTTACCAGCGGGTAGGATGAAGGAGTTCATGTCATGTTTTCGAAAATTGGGGGACCGCCAAGTGTAGACCATGAATTTCGTGTGTGGTGTCCTCATGGCCGAGGCCCTAGCTCTGGCTGTGGCACAAGAGCTGGGATCGAAGGCAAAGAATGCTGCATCCTGCACCTGGATCCAATCTGAGCTGTGACCCGTTTCCAGGTGCCATTCTGCCCGATGGTTGGGAGTGAGGTCTACTCTTCAGAGGCACGGATCTGTAGTGTGATTTTTTCATGAGGATGTTGGGTGTGGGAAGGAATCGGATTGTAATTTTGTGACGCTCCCAATCTTTGAATTCTATCTGAATGATCAATATTTCCGAATCTTTGACCCCTGAGCCGCTAGGTGAAGAAGACTGAGATCTTGATGGAGAACTGCCGTCGTGCAATTGGGAGACTTGCAAACAAGCTGGGTGAGCAGAGGTTGAGCTGTGGGAAGACCTTGGATGTAATCTGGTGTTTTGTTTTAAACTCAGAGGATGGTTCAATCATGGTTCAATCATGTTATATCACTGGTTGTTGGTTTCAAACATTTTTTATTTTCCATAATACATGGGATAATCCTTCCCATTGACTTTCATATTTTTCAAGATGATTAAACATATTAAAACCACCAACCAGATCATGTTCAAGCGCGCAAAATTGCGTTTGACTTTTCAAAACCCCACCGGGTCCCGCTGGGTTTTTCAAGCCCACTGGGCCATGGCCGCATCCTGAGGATCCGAATAAAGGAGACAAAGGAAGTCTACGAGGGCGAGGTCACAGAATTGACCCCAGAGGAGAATTGACCCGAAACTCCACTCTGGTGGTGGATAACTCTGGTGTTTGTGGATTTCATCACGTACAGACAGCATATGATCAGATGTTGGGGATGCAGGGATTTCTTGCTATTGGTGTTTGTTGGGTCTTTGCTGTCGTTTTCCTTTCGGATGTCTATCATAGCAAAGCTAGCGTGCTCTGACAACAACAAAGGACACAGCCAAACTGCTGAAATGAGCATTCACACCACCTTCAAACTTAACTTACCATCATGACATTGAGGAAGGGCAGGTTTTTACAGTATGTCACCAGCAGGTTCTTACCCTCAGCTAACATTTCAGGAGCGACCCGATCCTACAGGCGGTTACGGCAAGAAGGTAACTGCTGCACCTTAGCAGCAAGGGATTTCCTCTCAAGGTGCTGCTGACATCTGGGTTATTCAGCTTGTCTCCAGTTGGTTTTTGTTCGTGTTTGTCGAACGTCTCTCCATGACTAATCAATTTCCTGATTTGCTTGTGATATAATGTGATATAAGTATTATATATATATACATACATACAATATAAGCAAGTGATATTTGATGTATTCAAAGAGCCGAGGTGATGATTGGGCTGAAGACCACGCAGGGTTTCCGAGTTCGCTGAAGCCATCGCACATGGCAGCCCAGCCATGCAGACACTGAGGAAGGGTCAAAAGACCCTGAAGTTGGCTCCGCAGATCTATGAAAGCCTTCAAAAAGAGAAGGTCACAGCCACTCCCTCAGATCCAGTAAGGCTTTTTGGTGGGCATTAAAAATGCAGCATTTTATTTTCTGCGAAACTGGAACACACAACTGGGCTGAGCACCATGGTCACCATGGTCACCAAGGTTGGCGATGTCATCTACATCGAAGCAAATAGCGGTGCAACCAGAAGAGTCGGAAGCTGATGGTTGTGGCAGAGATGGCCTGACAATACACATTGGATGCAGTGAACATGACGGTAGCAAGATACATGGTCCAACATACACACGAAGATACTGTAAGGATTGATAGCCTAATGTCGTGTGAATCGCGCCTACAGATCAAACTCTGTGTGATTTTGCGCACGTCGCCGTGTGATTCCCCTGGATCATGAGAATTCAGGTGGGGCGAAGTGATAGCTACGCCACCGAATTCGACCTTGAAGCAGATGAGTGCCATTGCAGAAGGGCGATTGAAAGCTTCTGTTTTTGTAAGGTTGGATAGGTTGGGTCCAGGTCAGCATGCTGGATAACGCATGGATAAAAACATGAACTGTATCTTGGGCTTGAGAATCGAGGTACGTGCCTGTGCCAAAGGGCGATGTGCATAAGAAGAAGGAAGTTGTGCAGGTGGGGACCGAAAGGCAGCCTAGCAGTGGTGATCATCCCAAATGGCGGCTCATTTCAGCTTTGTACACACACACACACATCGTGGTGGCGTGAAATTTGATGAAACTAAGATTGAATTGATTGAATCCATTTTTGAATCCATTGGATGATTTGGATGTGCATTTCAAACTATCCAAAGGATGACCAATCCTTTGTGGCGCCATTGGTATCACTGGTATTATTGGAATCGTATGGAATCGTCGCCAGGACGTGACCTTGCACGATTTGGACCAGGCAAATGCCAAGCCGCAAGGGGGCCAGGAGCGACTTGGGAGAGTGGCAGTTTCTGAGTCGTTGAAGCTGGAAGCCACTGGAAGTCCTAGTCGCCTTGTCTCCCTCCTTGGTATCGCTGTGCATAGGATAATATAGATAATATGGATATGATTTTGATGTATATATATATACATACATGATACACTTGTATTATGTATACTATATATATACATAATTATAATATATATATATATGTATATATATATGTATATGTATATATATATATTTAGTTTCTCACTAGTCAAGATCTAGCGTATTGGTATAGTACATTGAAGAGAGCTTCCAACCTCGAACGCCTTGCAGGATTTGCAGAGTCTGATGGGAAGCTTCTTGAAACCACGAAAGACGGAGATCACAGAAAAGCTGCGGCTTGAGATCAATAAGGTCGTCAACAGGCACCCCTTTGTGCTTCCTTGTCCTGCTTTGTTTGGATGGATGTGGTTGCCCATGTAGTCAAGATTGATTTCCCCACTTGGATGGTTAATTCCAAAAGCAAACCATTTTGTGGGTCCATTGGCAATATGGGAAGATGTCACGCATCCAGTTTCTTGCACATCCACATTGCACATATCCCAGAATTGGTGTCAGGGAAATCCACACGAAGCCCTCATTATTTGGGGGGTTAACACTTATGGTTTCCTGCAACATTTGGTGCATCAGCCAGGTACATAGATCAGGGCATTGCCGAACTGGTGCCTGGTGTGCTCTTCATTGATGAGGCCCAACATCTTGAAGCACCAGAGTGTTGAAACTCCATCTTTAGTGATTAGATTACAATTGTTGCTGATTGCATCCCCCATTTGACTGTTTAAGCAACGTAAGTTCCACTTTTTTTGCTGGCAGAATAATTGTTTCCTGCATGTTCTAGTTGTCATCCCACTTCCTAATTTGATTCCATAGATGGTCAAGTCTACTTTTTGTTACAGTGGCGCCGGTGACGTGACGCCAACAGGTGCACATGCTCGACATTGAATGCTTCACGTATTTGAATCGAGCTTTAGAGTTCCGAAACTGCAGATGGCGTGGTTGTTATGGGCGGAAAGTCTACATTGTTTAATCAACAGCTCAAACATAGGAATATAGAGAGTCATTGATTGGTGGTGAATCGGTGCTAATTGTTCTGCAGCATCCCTTAAACCTAGAACAATAAAAGTCGGTTCAATCAGCCAAACATAGTGGCTAACAGTCAACCATTGTTCACATTTGATCCTGAAAGCCATTCGGCTGGCACAGGCAGCGACTTTCACTACCAGCCAGATCTTCTCATTTCTTCCCTTGACTGGTAACGTAGGATAAACTAGTCTAAGAATACTTCGATAAAAAACATGACACATCCCTTTGCTTCACCCCTTGAGGTCTACACTCAGCCCGATCATCATTTTTGCGACCAATAGAGGCATGCTGCTTCTGCTTTCTTGTGATCCTTTGAGAATTCCGTTCTCTTTTATCCCTCAGTATAGTAATTTACTATCCAGTATGAGCTGCGTATTCTTCAACCATTTTCATCACGTCAGGTATTTGCACCATCCGCGGCACCGACATCGTGTCGCCCCATGGCATTCCAGTTGACCTTCTGGATAGGTTGGTCATCATCAGGAGCAGCATCGACTTGGGACTGCAGCTGTAGCGGCTCCAATCCATGCGCCACAACCAGTGCAGGACAATGCCGTACTCAGTGGATGAAATCATCCAGGCACTGGAGTTGGCAGCTTCAAAAGGTTCACTTGATTATAGTTGATTATGGTTGATTATATGATATTATATAGTTGATGGATGATACTTGTGTTGGATGATTTAGTGTAGGTGATATTACATATATATTACCCAATATATATATATATACATGGGATAATCATAATCCATCATGAGAGGTCAAAATGACATCGCTCAGTTTTTTTGCACAGCCTATGACATCAGGTGGTGAATATCAGGGCGCAAACAGAAACCCTTTCCGTTGATGAGGATGCGCTGGTCCGCTTCTTATGCCGTAATGAGATGCCAAGGGAATGCTGACAGTGCAGTGTCCTGATGGATGATGTGATGAGGTCTTGCTAGGTGAGATTGGCGCAAACACCTCGCTTCGATATGTGGTGCAACTGCACCACACTCAGCATGCACTGTCAGTTGAGTAGAGGTGTTGCTACACCAAACTTGGAGTTTTTTTCGATGAAGTGGTTTGTACGTTCAATAACGAACGCAAAGTGTATTGGAGCCGTTCATTTTTTGACATGCTCCATTCGTTGAAGCAGCCTGCAGACTCTCAAAAGTTGCAGACCCATTCCAGGCTGACTCCGGCGTCAATCCTTGCCAAGACCAATGGCCGAGAGGTGAAAGATCAAGTTGTCAATGCACCGATGAACGACTGAAGGTGTAAACAGTCTTGTTGGAAGAAGTTGAAATTGTGGCTGCGCAATGGGGTACAGATTCGAAGCTGAGATGCAGTTCCAGAATTAAAAAACGGAATAGTGACACTTGCAGAAGCTTCGCTTATGAAGAGCTGCGTTGGATTGTCTTGTGGGAAGGCAATTGTGAGAGAGGACATCGAGGACTGATGATTTAGCAGAGGAAACTTTAGATGTGAATGTGTCCAATCAGAAGATGTCATTTTTGCAGGAATAACAAGTTTGAAGAGGAAATATGTGGGGAGCAAACACACCATGTTTTATACAAGCTGGCTTGTCTCCACACCTGCAGGAGATTGACTCATTGTTCTTCGATGCAAAGCCTGGCTGCCCAGATTTTCTCTCTACAATCACTTGCATGGCTGACTACAGACGAACATGAAGCATGTGTAGCAGTTCATTACATAATTCATAATACCAGCATATATCAGCACCCGATTTCTGGAAGCACTTACCCAGTTATTAAAAAATAGGATCGCCAGCATTTTTCCAGTGTACCCATTTTTTTTTCCCTACAGCTTCCTGTCCCAAAAATGATCTGCCAAGGTCTTCGGCCAAGTTGCTAGCTGAGCAGGCAGACAAGTGAGATACTCAGAATCTATGCGCTACGACGTTGATGCCTTGGTGTCTCAAAACATGATGTGGCACATGTGGGAGTGAAATACTAGGAAAATCTATGAAATACCAAGCTAGAGAGTGTGCAATTGAGTCAGCTGTATGGCAAGAGCCCATGTCTATTTTCTGTACTCCTGGCTGAGGTACATTTCCTGAGTGCCAGGGTGCTTCTGCTTTCTCACTTTTTGTGCTTTGCATGATCTCTCAGCCATCTCAGCCAAATGTCTCCATTTTGATCCATTTTGAACATCGAACAAATCCATGCAGGAATTTCCTAGAACAAACAAGCAACAAAGCCATGAATCCATGAGGAAAGAAAGCTGGGATTCTTTTCTTTGTCCTTCGGACAGACTCACAGCAGTACACAGCGCTGTGTCTGCAAGCATGACCAGGAATCCACAGACCTTTGCAATGCGAAGAAAAAAGCTCCGGAGCTGGAACGATGGAATCCTAAGGCCTTGCGGCATTGAACTTTGAATTAATTTTGACAGTTTGCCATGCATGCAAAAATCCCCGCATGTAGAACCTTTCTCAAGCTCCCAAAGCATGAAACCTAGCAGGACCTAACAGAGCATCCTAAAGCTGGCAGCTGGGCTTTGACAACTGACTGAAAGTTGGCACGTTCCAAAACTCCACCAGAAACACAGTAAGATGGCGGCATGCAGCGGAGGATGTATGGCCAACCCGTGCTGAAGCGGATACCAATTTCAAATCGACATTTCCAGGGACTCATACTTTCCCCTAGAGAAGTGTGGCGCGACAAAGCATTTCGCGCCCGGTGATTCTGCATGGCGGCCTGCAAAACGCATGCGTCGCCGCCTGGAAAAATGGCTTGCGGCTCAGGCTGTGTCTGCAGTCAGGGAGGAGTATGTAATCCCATCCGCTCCAACATTAGATACTACACTAAAACCCAGGGTTTAGTGGAGGATCGGAGGATCTGCTTATTCTTGGTCCTGTTTATATAAGGGCAATCTAACATTGGGGCGACCGGTTTCCTTTGTTTTTCTCCCATGGTTTGATTTCGGGCGCCGTCACTCGCCTAGGTCTCAAGGTTGGGTCACCCCTGCCAACCGCCAGCCGCGGCAGAGGAGACACCAGATTCAGTATATTCAGTTCAGTAGTGCAGGTGAAAGGGCGGAACGGCGGAAGTCATAATATTGTGCCATGGTCAAATCATGGCCTATACCGCCTTCCAGAGGGATACATAAATCATTGTGGGATAGATGATCAGAAACGACATCCAGCCTTGCAGCTGAGACAGGACAGGGGCGCCTAGAGATGGTTTCAATAGCAGCCTCTCTTCTGAGGCTGTAGGTGGGCCTGATGGGGGAAAGGTTCAACGGATTCCATGCAGCCTTGGTGACTTCATGGTGTTGGAAGGTAGATAAAGATAGATAAAGACATGAAAAATATAGATACATTACAAACTTACAATGTGTTTGTGTAGAAGATAAGATCTGACCTGCTCCGGGCCTGCTTGCAAACTACAAGACTGTTTTTTTTCCCGGACATGCAACAATTGCTGCGGCTCTAGTGCCTGCGGCTTAACCATTTTTCAGCTGCGAGGCCATGATGCAAGTCAGACATCCGTTTCCATCTCCAGCTCGAGCCAGGACACAGCGGAAGTGGTGTATTGTAGCAACGAAAACTGGCAGATTGAGAGACTCACAAGCAAAAAATGGAGGAGTACAGTGGATTTATATGGATTTATCGGCAAAAATGGAGGATGGACATTGATTACCCAACAAGAATCAGGGATCAATATGGTTTGCAGCAACAGGAATAGGGGGCAATCATGGATTAAGCAACAGGAATATGTGGTTTGTCAAGATGATTGTGGGTACATGACCAACATTTGGAGGTATACCACTATGAACCAATGACACGCACTAAGTAGACAAACAAATGAGGATATCACCAGCTATCATCATTGCCCCTCAAGTGATTTTACTGTAAGTGACGATTGAGTCCAATTCCCAGAGCTTGAAATTGGGATACGCTATGAGGATGCGGTGTTTCACTGCCACACGGAGCCAACCTTCAGGGCTGCAGAGGCATGGACGTTGGCTGTTTCATACATTTGCTGTTTCACTCAATGTTTTTTTCTTTTAAAGGAAAATCTAAAGGAAACCATGGGTTTCCAATGTTTTTTTTATTTTTTTAAATATGTTTTTACCTCCACATGATAGGGGCTTCTTAAGCTTCCTGCAAGATTTTTCCCATCCAATTTCCGGATGCACAGTTGGGATGCTCCCCCATGACCAGCCGCCAGGTCGAAGCGACGGTCCGATTCGTTCAGGCTGGTGCTGCCAACAGGTACCCCCAAAATGGCGATTTTGAAAAGGATCTTGTTATTTTGATTGATGATTGAAGGGTCTATAGAATTATTATGACATGTTATTTATCGGATGATAATTCCATAGATAATGATGATTGATTCATGGATCTAGAAGGTAGCCCATTTTCAGACAAACCCACGTATAACTTCGGCGATCTTTGACCTGACCTTGAGGCAATGTATTGTTTGTACCCTGCCAAGATGTGGGCCAATCAGGACAGCCGGCTGTCCTGATGTCAAACTTTTCTGCTAAAAAGTGACGACCACCATGCAGTTCCAGGAAGACTCGCAACATGTGGAGCCATCATTCCTGCCATGCAGCATCCAGATGGCCAAGGAGGCGAGTGCAGTGCGGTGATGAACAGACCCCTGGGCCCCAGGAACCAACAGAAGTCAATACGAGTTTCCTCAGGGGTGACTTTGTTATCTTTGTTGGTTTCTCGGTTTCTGTTTTTCTAAAATTCTGCATTTATATCATTTATATCCTGAAGCGATGGGAGGCGTTGCATCTCCAGAATGACTTCAAGAAGGCACTAGGGGGATTTCTGACAGTTTCTGACAGCATTTGGGGAAAGTGGTCCTTCTGATTCCGATGTTTGTGCTTGGCTCCAAGTCAAAAAAAGCCGCTTTGCCACAACAAAGATCCACAAGGCAAGCGACAAAACCAGAACTGCATCCCAACAATTCCAACAATTCCAAGAGATGTTCAGCAAAAATTGAAGAGATTTAATGATTTTCCAACCACATTTTGGGTTAAAGGAACCCAACTTGATGAACCCTGCTGGAGATGGCCGCCTTCCAAGCACGCTTGGCCCAACGTCATGCGGCCTTCAAGCGAGGTGGCCGGGTCTCGAGCGGGTGCGCGAATGACGGTGATTTTCCATGACTTACCACGAAAATGGATGGTTTCAATGGAAAAACTGTGGTGTTTTTTGAATGCAACATCTGCAAACAATGGATGGTTTTAATTGGTGGATTACTGAGACACTTGGAGCCACGTGATTTTGCTGTGATGCACCATGGAGGATCAGCATGATTTTGCACTGCAAGCCACGCTCCAAACAGGCGCAGAGGTTGGTGACCTACAACGCTTGCGAGACTTCGCGGAAGAGCTTTGGAGGTGGGACAGAAGCGGTAGATCGTTGAAGCCCACGGAGAGATGTTTCATATTTAAATATTTAGTTGGAATTTTGTTAAAGCCATTTAAAACCTCCAGTATCCTGGAATACTAAGTTACTATATCGACTCGATGAATGCGGTGGATGAACATCCCATAGCTACCAGTTCTTTTGAACACCAGGGACCCCGCTGAGCCATGCCACCAGGCAGGAGCATGAAGAAAAGCTTTGGAGACGCCGAGGTGAGCAGTCCGGATGATTTTGAGATATTTTAAGGATCTAAAACATCAAGAAACACAGCCTCTATTTTGAACATCATCTTTGCCATCATATTTTGATGATCTAAGTGAAACTGGCACCCAGAATTTCTTTAAGAGAACCACATAGGACTTGTTGCAGGTTTTCAACCCATTGAATCAAACATCAGATCCATGACTCATTGGATTGGAGGGAAACGAACTACAGGAAACCTCGGAAACCACTATGTTTGATGGGGAAAACCATGGTTTATGTGGTTTCCGGTGAAGATTTTCCCACCACAAATCACCACGACAGGTGTGATGGATGCCATGGAGGTGGATGGCCTGGAGATGGATGCCATGCAACTGGAGGACCTCATGTCCAAACTGCCCAGCCTACGAAGCTTGGGCGAAACAGCGAAAGATGGGCCAATTCGAGATATTTCGGATATTTCATATCATGAAATGTCATGAATTTTAGTCATGAATTTTGGGATAAAGTATTGCTGGAACAAGGATGAACTACTTGTGTGCATGAGTTATATGACATTGTACGTCCTGTTGCTTTGAGCACTGGCTGGATGTATTTTTGTTTGGTAAAGCTTGGCCCCTCAAAGTCTTAACAATGGCCGGTTTTTTGAGTTTTTACCCCAGGCTCTTCAACACTGAAGTTTGCAACCGTTTTAAGCTTTGGTTTCTTTTGTTTTGGTTTCAATTGGCCATTGAGTCCAGTAGTTTATTCGTTAACCCCTCTAGAGAGAAAAGGCGACACAGGAGACTTCCATGACTTCCATTTTTGACCGACTTCGAGTTTTCGAAAAAAAAATGGTAGTGCTCTTCACCTGGTGTCCATTGGAAGGGTGCAACACCCAGTTTTTTGCTTGGCTTTCCCCAGCCATTTTGATGGATCTATTGAATCTGTTGCTTCGATATTTTGGGTTTTCTGAAAACGGAAGCACGGATTTTTTTCCTTGGAGACCTCTCATCAATTACCCTCTGGTAATTTAACATAGCCATGGAGAATGGCCCATTTATAGATGGTTTACCTATAAAAAATGGTGATTTTCTATGGCTATGTTAAGTTACCAGATGGTATATGATTATACTATTGTCATTCCAGTGTCATTCCATCTTTGGGAAACTGGCTCGTCGTCTGAGCCCTTTTTGCGAGGTGCAGCTTTGATCTCTGTGAACTCAAGAGACCAGCTGGATGCTGTGCGAGAGATCCGAAAGATGTGGGCTGAAACCGGTGAAACCTCCGCACCCATTCGAATCTCGGTGAAAGCTTGGCGAATGCCAGGAGACATGCAGCCAGGTACTGTATGAATCATGATGAATCATAGAATGCAATCTTAGATTCTTAGATTCTTAGATTCTGTTTCAGGTTTGCAGCAAATTTGCAGGTAGTCAGGCATTTTGCAGGTTTCAACAATGCACTGGTACTCAGAGCAATTTGCATCCTGTCACCATGAGGCATTTTCGGGGACATTCCCAAGTGTCTGGTGAGACTCGCAAGGGTGCAGGATTTGCTGTGCGAAGTGAGAGTTCAGGCAGGATTTGGTATTTGGGCCATCAACCTGACACATGGCATTTCACACCAACGTGGCAGTGATATCTTTGACAAAATCCGGTGGCTTAAACACATTCGAGATGCAGAGATGTCTGAGATCCTGGTGTGGCGCAAGGAGTTGATGAATCCATCACTGACTCCCCGAAAAATCCTAATATGACGAGAGCAGGTTGCAACCCTGCTTCAATTTACAGGACATTTCCTGCTTTTTGTCTTCCCTTGGTTGGCTTTCTATCCTGTGCCAAACCACGTCAATGCTTTCAGTCTTATTATGTGGTGTGCAAGGACCGTTGGAAGCTCCTTGTGCTACCAGATTTGAGGTATTTGGGTTTTCCAATGTCAAGGTGCGCTTGTGGCACTGGTGGTGTTCCAATTTCGAAACTGCGAGGCGTTAGCCGCGCTGGCTGACCTTGCATCATCAGAGAAGGGTGCCATGGTGGTGGCGGAGATTGGCGCGCTGCCACTCTGCGTGAGTTTGCTACAAAGCTCAGAGGAGGCGAATTGGTTGTGTGAAGCGTGTGAGATGCGATCATCATAGAGACCGGTCACAGTGAAGGTAGGCAAGATCTGTCAAGACAGTTCGACACATTTACATCAATCTACATCGTTTGCTTTTCAGTAAGTCTTGCGACACAAGGCTCTGTGTTTCTTCTGAGCAGCTGTATTCGCCTTGAATTTCCGAAGAGCTACATTTGGCAACATAACACATCTGTAGATGTTACCCTGAATTCCGATCGCAGGAGATCAGAGAAGGAGCCTTCCGCGTGTTGCACAGCGTTCACGAGAAAGGTGAAGTTTTTTGACCAGTCTCAGACCGCCGACACATTGAGACTGAGCTTGTAGCGAATGTCGTAGGTTTTAGTGATAGATCTAGTGGTTGATTGCAACCGTGAAGCAGCTGGAAGAAAAGCAGTTGGGCTGCGCGATCTGATGTACAGCACCGGAAGCTGGTCTCAAAAGACAGTGTTTGTACGAAGGTTGAACTTTATTCTTCTGCAGATTGGAATCACACAGACTTCTGTTGCAATCAGTGAATAGTTTTTTTTCCTCTTTAGATTGTCACTTTGTCCAACAGGTCATGAGCATTCACCTGAACAAGGCTGGCTCACCAGGAATCACTGTCCTGACATGATACATGTCTCATTATAGAAAGGTGGGCATGTTTGTCCAACAGAAAGTTCATGACCGAAGCTGTGAATCTCAGGTGACTGATGTGGCACTTCTCCAGGGTCAAGCTGAGGCTATCAGAAGAAATCACTGGAATGTTAAAAAAAGTGTCCATTCTCATCACATTCTTTTAAAGTCATGTTTGGAAACCAAGCACACCATGTAGGAAGCCGACTCGTCTTGAACTCAGATGCCTCAATTGGCGAACTTTGGCAGCTCCAATTCATCTCAACATAGAGATGCTGAGATGATCTGAGATGGCAGCGTTGCTATGCCAATGCCAAGGTCTGCGATTCCACTCTGGCTTTCAGCTCCATCCCCTGTCAACCGTCGAACGCCGGAGCTGGCATCTGAAGGCGTGGCCAGCACGGTTGGCCATCGGTTGGCCATCGGCCATTTCCGCTTGACTGACCTGGTGTCACGACCAGATACCGATCTTTCTGAGCTCTTCTTGTGGGATCTGCCGCCAGTAGCCTCAGTTCCAATGCTACAGTGGGACATAGTGGGACTTGGCCAATATTTTTGGGATGAATTCTAGGAGTACTACTTAAAAGATGTAGATTCAGATACTTTTAAAAACCAATCACCTAGAATTATCCATATCTATGTACGAATATGCATTTACATACAGGTCTAATGATTTCCAAACCATTAAGGCCCATACCTTTTGGTCAGCTGCCAACCTGTGAGTCGAGTGCTCGGAGGGACAGCTCAACAGTGCAACTGCTTTTGAAAATCACTGGTGACTGGTGTTTTCATGACATGTTGACTGATGATTTAGCGAGTACATCATGTACATCTGAATCACTTTCCCCTTTCACAGACATATTTCTATCTGGAAGAAGTTGAACAAGTCTTGATTTTTTCTCTCACCAAATTAAGCTGAGTCGCTGACGAGGCCCAGCTTGCCAAGTCGCTGGCAAGTCCCCCAGAAGGTTCCGGCCGGACGCTGGGTACAGGCCCGTGCTGCTTCGGGGCTTGTCGCTTCACAGGGAGAGTTGAACTTGGCATTGGGTGTGTCTTCCTCAGAGAACAATTCTTATGGGGAAAACATATAAAACATGGAATTTTTGGGCATCCTATTTTCAGACAAACCCAATTAGCAAGTGGAACTGCCAACTGCGCAAGTGTGACTTTGTCTCCAAATTGTGGCCACGTGCCCAGAAAAACTGAGCTCCAAATGGTATAGCCAGGGGCGGCCTTTGGGTGACTTTGACCGCAAGAACCTTGGGATTTTTGCAGAACTGCTGTCATTACCATCCTGTCAGTGACAGCTGGTGGCCAAGGCTCCAACGTCCAGCTGGACGATCTGATCTCCTTAGGGTTATTGCCGTGCGACGCTTGGAGGCTTCGTAGAAACTGCAGTGAGGCCACTGGGGTCTGATGGGTCCCAATGGGTCTGGTCCTATGCCTATAGCCTATGGGTCCTGAGGTTGCATCCCTGCATGGGCAGGTTGCCCCTCCCATCTCCAGTGGCACGTTCAGAGCACGAGGGGTGCAGCTGACTTTCTTATTGATCCAAGAGGACGATGACTTTGGAAGGGAGACTCTCATCATCTTTAATCATTCTAATCTATATCTCTACCATTCTCTACCCATGCGTTTATTAAGCGTGTACACGTGGCACGCCCAAACATACACACTAAATGGATCTAAATGGCGAATCTGTTCATTCCTTCATTCGTTGGTTCATTAATTTCAGGCCGTTTTCCTCTCAGAGACTGGTGTGCCAGGTATTTGGTGGACACCTGCGCCTGGGTTCAGCGGGCCAAGCAGTGTGGCTCTGAGGCTGTTGAATTGGGGATTGGGTACCATTTTCATGGCAGATGATTACTATTTCAACTGGGGTTGATGATATAATCCGGGCTTGACATTACAGAAACATACAGAAACAATCTACTAACAGTTCAGGATATATGGATACTGTCCCAGCATTGGATGATGGGACGATTTACAGGAAGCCAGCCAAATTTTCATGGTAAAAATCATGGTTTCACTCGCCAAGGTCAAACCCTCCCGAGATGAAGTCCCTCCTGGTGATATGGGTCCCTGGCTGAGCTCCAGCGGCCTCACAATTGCCATCGAAGGGAACCACCCCAAGTTGTGGTTTCAAATCATGTTTAACACATTGGGCCAGGGAATGAATTTCCAATGATCATTTATCCAGGATGGTTCATAAACGCATTTATCTTGTGATTCCACCATGAAACTTGTGTTCAGTGAGGTAGAATCCATTGAATTCATAATCCAGAATTTATATTGTTTGATAGACAAGCATCCTGATAATGAATCTTCATAGTGATTTTTGGTTGATAGTTAACATTAGCAAACTATCCAAAAGACATAGATACATTATGATACATTTAACAATAATCAACCATTATAACTTGGTTAAATCAACCAGAGTTGCGGGTTTGATATTAACCATGAATCAACAGTAGGTACTCATAATATGTAATCATTAAAATTATCATCATTAGTGATTTTTCGACGAATTACACATAATTAGCATTTGCTAACCATAAATGATCATAATTCAACCACAACAACGCAAAACAATTAGGTGGGCACTTCGGTGGAGATGGCTCGCAGTTCGGGACGCGGCTGTCGCCTTCGACAGGAGGCATTTTCTATCCTTTGATGGCAAATTTGATAGGGAAAATCGATGAACATCATGATCACCCTGACTTGAATTTAGAGGTATAGCTTATTTTTAGACACAAACCAGATTTGTTGCCAAGTAAGTGCTGAGTAGTGCTTCAGCACACTTTGATCAATCACTGCTCAAACAAAGTGTGTTTCGCGGAATCGTGGTTGCTGCCAGGGCGTTCCGACAGTTTTAGCTTTTTCTGGGGCCACGGAGGCCTCTGAACAGAGAAAGGACCGAATCTCGTGTGCAGTTGGCTGTACCAGTAATATCCAGTAATGATGTTTCGGGAACCAATGGTGTTCGCAGGAAATCCTTCGATGCCGCGCAGAAGTGCTCGGATTGTGGTGATATTTTCCTGTTGTCTTGGAGCAAATCCAAAGTGATTGCCCAGAGGCAAGAGGAAAATCAAGACAGACATTTCAAAACGATGCTATAGGGTCAAAACGACCTTTGTACATAGAATCAAGGATGCATCACAATCTCGTCAAAATCTCATGGAACCGCATCACGCCCCCGGCATCAGAGCTGTTGTAAGCTAATCCGTGGATTGATCGCCAACTGGTGCTATTGGATAACGAAATGCAGGTGCGTAAGCTCACAAGCTGCCAAACGCAGGAAGAAGGCACCTGTATACAAAATCCATAAGCCTTATATATCCTTATATCATATCATTGCAGAATCGAGGACTTTAGGACTTTGATTGTTGCTTTTCTTTGGTCATGAGTTGTGGCTAGCCAGCCATGAATCCGGAAATTGGATTTTTCATTGGCAGCCATGGATGACCTTGCGATGTGCCAGTGCTTTTGTTTGGACAAAGGTAACCAATTGCTGCGAATGTCGTTCTCCGGAGCCAGCTAGGATATTGATTCATTAGATTATACAAATACACATGCGTACACTGCGTACACATGCATTATATGTATACAACAGGATATATAATGTATATATACATACACACACACATATACAGTATATATATACAGTATATATATAGTATATATATACATATATATATATATATATACACGTGTATATATATATATATCACACACACACACACCATCACACACACACCATCACACACACACACATGTGTGTGTATATATATAATTATATAATATGTAGCTGCAAAGACATCATGCAGACATGTTGTATTTCTATGGTCCGGCTGGATTTCACCAAAGCTCTTGCACAGCCCGCCTGAAATCATGCTGCATCCGTTGTTTTTCTCAGCTCGCTGACTGAAGACACTCTCACTCGCTGCCCAACGCATTCGCTCCTGATCTCTGTCCATGACCCAATTCGCAGATCACTGCAGCATGAGAAGTACCCATGGGTTAGAGTCAGTCTAGTCATAAGTGAGTGATAGGTAGTGATGGTAGTTTTTGGAAGTCTCTCACAGACATTTGGTCACTTGTTTCTGGAGCTTGTTTCAGTGGTGGCAACAATTCAAAATCACAAGATGGCACAGGAGGTTTTGTTTCCTGGTTGGCTGAGGAACCATTCATTGGATCATGTCTGCAGTGCAGGTTTGCGATGTGTTCGGCTCAGTCTTTCACTGTTCACTTCATTGTGAACAGGTCCACTCCGGTCAGTTTTGATGTGGACGAACATGCCACGAGGTCAAGGGTATGTGCCAACAAGATGGCCCTGTCATCAAGGAGGGGGTTGATAATTACATGGGGCACCACCTGTCCATATGCTTTGCAGCTGTGATTGGTTGCACTGCACCCTGAGATTACTGTGACTACACGTCAGAAATGGTCAGAATGTCAGAAACCTTTCACTCCCTGACAGGAGAAAGGAGAAATTCAGCCCACATCTAGCGCGTGGTGCTGGCATGTTCAACAGCGGCTCGAGTTTTGGGAAATCTGCAAACAGTTCTGGTGACAGGTTGCAGCCGTGCAAGCAGATGGATGAGGATCCGGGTGACAGTTGTGGCCTCATCCTTCGTCTTTTAGCCCAAGTGTTACTGTATTTCAACCGGCTCATCGATGGGGGAAAAAATGCTAACCTTGCCATACAAAGGCCTGGATGCTAGTTCCGACGGTTACGACGATGACAATTCGCTCGGCTCTTGGTTTCGTCTTGGGTCTCGAGATGTCGTGACCATGGCCCAGCCCCAGGTGTCGTGACGAAGATGACTACTATGCATTTCTTCGCGAGATGGTGCGACATTGGGACGGGACACAAAAAAACAGGATACGGAGCTCACAGCTCTGTGCAGAAGCCCAATCTTGGTATGTCTTAGCTACAGAGCATTTGGTTAGATGATCCAAGAATGTCAAATCTAAGGTGTTTGCAGACCCGAAAGCCAAATATAAACAGCTATAAACAGTTATTTGATTGGGCAAAGCTGCTTAGTGATGTCAATTGCGTGGCAGGCAGGATCATTTGAGGCCACTTATGACGACGAGGACCGGACTTGAGTTGCAGATCAGCAAATGTGGCTATGCCTATAAGTTACGAAAAAGCATAGTATTGTGTGTGAAACACATATGAGAGAAACATGATATGTGTTGGTATGTACCTAACTATATGTATACATAATACAATGTATGTACACAAGACAATGCAAATTTGCACAAAGACTCGCACATACCCAAACACACATCTAAAGACAGACATGTTTAAGGACGGATACATTTCATGGCTGTGAAGTGGACTTGAAATCAGCAGCAAGTTGGATCTGATACAACCCTGCAGATTTTGCTCATTTTGACTAGTGACTAGTTATTCTCTTTCATGGCGTAGGTCATGGCAAAATTGCACAATAACTACACAATATTGCACAGTTTGTTGACGTTGCATGGAACATGATCCACATGCACTTGACCTACGCCGGTATAGCAAGACATTTCAATCCCTGATGGAGTACTACGGCACCATAGACCTATGAGATCTCCCCCTGTCTGACATGCTTTTTGCGCATCCCTCAAAAGCTGTGTCGGATTAGCCTGCCATGCCCATCCGATCCAAGCTGGACAAGAATGCCGTGAGCCTGGCATGTTTGGAAAATTTGGAAAGCAGGGGATTTTCTGTTTGATGATGTTTGATGTTTCCAAATAGTCTTGATATGTCTTAATTTCCATCTCTACCTCGGATGACGAGCCCCCTGACTACATTTTTTTGCAGGGTGAAACCACCAACAAGTTTTCACATGAATTTTGAATCAATGATAATCAATCTATCACTGGGACAGGTCTACTTCAAATTTGCTCATGAGGGCCATGCTCTTGAAAAAGTCGAGTGGAATGCTCAGCATCAGGAGCTTTTGCATCAAAGCATAGTGATTGACTCTTTGTCAACCTGACAAGCTATTGTTTGATTTGAAAGCTTCCCTGTCTTCTGTCACCTCTGTCTGAAAGGTTCTATGGCAAAGAAATTGCGGTTGGTGACCTCCGCCATACCATTGCGGAAATGAAGAAGCTTCCAAAGGCACTGATTTTTGCCATCGAATGACATGAAAACATATCATAACTATATCAGACTATATCATGACTTAGGAATTTGCATTGGAACCTTTATAATCACTTTATAACCGTCATAACCTTTGACCGCGCTTGTCTCAGGTCGACTTGCAGATCCTCAACGACTCCGGCGAGGTCTACACTCGCGATGGGCATCTGCTGAAGCGCAACATTATTGTGACTGTACGGCGAACGCCGGTACAGACGCAGAAGAAGCCACAAGTCTTGGACCTGGAAGGCAGGGACATTGGGGACATCAGGGACCAGAGATGCACAAGAAATATGGAATAACCATGAATAGCCATGGATAACCTGGATGTAAGATGATGTAATTAGCGCTGGGACCAAAGCCGAACATATCATATCATATCATCAACAAAGCAGTCGTACGCGACCTGAGTTGCAGGTGCAGACATTTTTGCACCTCTGAAGAAGAAGGCGAAAGTGGTGAAGAAAGTGGAGCATGAGCCTCGAAGGGTGAATTGTGAAGCCTTCGGCTGAAATCTGGAGAGTCCTATGGAGACCCAAATCCAAGGCCTGAGGTACCTCCAGAGCAGAAGGCGCCCTGCCCACCTGAATACTTGTGTCGTGGCCCTTGGATCGTTCGTGCAGTGACCAAAGGTGTAGTTACTAGGAAGTGACAGGAATAGAAAGGAAGACTCCAGATGGAAAAGGAAGAATATGACATGTGACAAACTAGTGTGATGGTGTACCTGTCATGTACTCATCCTAGACATTCCTAGACTGAGGCCCCTTGTGCAGAGGCATTTTCGCAGCTCGGATGCAATTGTCTTCAGGATTGACTGCAAGGAAAAGCCAGTGTTTTTGATCAGGCAGGGTTCATATGCTGGATTTGTCAGCCAAGGAGAATCCAGCAATTGCTCGGTGTTGTGGCCGTTCCGCATGTACTAGTTGCTTCGAGGAGACCGTCCAAATCGTCCAAGCACCTAGGATGGAGTGAGGCTGCACCAAATAATGATGACCCGTTGAAATGTTGTTGCAGTATCTACTTGATGTTGAGCCCAGTGAAGATCCAGACTTCCAGTCCTCAGCTGGGCCAGGAGAGAGCTGTGGGAGCCTGTCCTCTTTGTGCCAGGCGGACCTGTTTCACCTAGAAAGATGTCTTGAAAATTGGGCAGCTGCACCAATTTGTTGGCTTCCACCATGTAATTTACTGTATAATCTAATCTAATCCAATGCAATCCAGTTTAATCATTAAATCTAATCTTATCTTATCATATCTTATCTGATAAGATCTTTCGAATCCTGTCTGCTCCTGTCTGATCCTCTCTGATCCATCTGATCCTACCCTACCCTAGCATATAGCCTTAGGCACGTCCCTAATTTTGAAAGAATAGCCGCACTCCAGATGAATGGAGAACATTGGTACTGAATTTTGACTCCGTTGAGTTTGGCTGGATCAACCGAAATTCAGAGCATGCTGGAGCTTCTTCTGGTCAGGATAGTCTTTTCCTGTCTGTAGTAGAAGCCAATGGATCTTGAAAGAAATCAGAGGCAGTGGGCAGATGAAAAGCCCGGAACTCGATCTCAGTTTGAGTTGGTGCTGTGCGGCATCCAGGGCTTTTCAGGGCCTTTATTCCAGATGCTTCAACATGGTTCAAGGCCTCTACCGAATCCACGACTGGCAGAAATCGTGGCCTCTTTGAACTTGGACTTTTTCCAGCTGCCTGCGAAGACGGTACCAGCCTCAGATGGTTCAAGAAAAACAGGGGACAATTGGGAGAAAATTGCCCAACATTGACCAACAGAAAGCAGAATAAGCCTCTGAGAACTGGAGTTGAGTCAGCTTTGCACACTTTTCCTTTTTCCGTCTTAGAACTTCCTTCTGTTGCGATGCAAAAGGGTCCTCAACCTTCCAGATATCATCAAGACCAGCACGATATGGAATAGGGGACCATTTGGATTTCAGTCTCAGGTTGAGAGACAAGCTGCTTTACGAGGCGACATACGTCAACCTGACTATCCGATGTTCGGAATCTCCTCATCTGGAGGGGTTGATATCTGGCGCAGCTATGCGCAGCTAGGATTTTGGTTCATCAAATTCATCAACAGTTTGGCCAAGTGTTCAAGCGGTTCAAGCCTAAATGTACTCAGTTGTGTGCATCTTTCAGATGGTGCTGTGCGGACACGTGTACCTCCGTCTCCAACATGCTGAAGTGGCAGGCAATCAGGGCCCTCCAAAGACAGAGGCAGGTACAACGAGTTCCAACGCTTCACGCCCTCGATCCAAATAACTTTGGTTCCCCAAACAAAACCAATGGATGAAGTACCCTGAGGTAGAAAAAACTTTGTTGATTCCATTTGGGATGATCAATATAAACATGTTTATACATGTTTGGATCATCAACTGGTTCCGTTGTCCGTGGCCACTGGAGGCGCCCGCAGGCCCAGCGGCTTCGCCGCCAGTGGCAGCTCCGGCCGCCCCGGCCGCGGCACGGGCGGCACCGGCGGCACCTGCGGCACCGGCGGCACCTGCGGCACCGGCGGCAGTGGCAGCGCCCGTCATGGCCCTGGAGTGTTCAATAACTTGGAGTAGTATAGTTTTGATAATTGATAGTGTTTCGTTTTTGAGTGTTTTTAATAGTTTTTTATCGATTTCGTTTTTTTTTTTTAATTTGAAAGTTCTTGGTGGTTTTTGAGTGTTTTTGATGACCTCACTAAACACCAAGGCTGGAGTCACGCTGGTGTGACGGCCTGAGCATTGATTCAGCGGGGATGTTTGCGCTCTGAGAGGACTCACATATCCATGATCTTTTTCCTCGATCAATTGATTGCCAGCATTGGAGACCAAAGAATACCAAAGAAACAAACAATGCATTGCCTTATTGTGAATTGCTTTGGGAGTTATATTCTGCACGCAGCCCTGTCCACTAAAAAAGGCCATGCATGCTCTCGCCAGAGCAGTTTCACGCTTGGCAGCAGCTGCCTACTCAGAGAATGTTTACAGAGAATGTCTAGCAGAGTATAGCAACTGGAGTCCAGCCACACCTGTAGCCGCGTAGCCGCTGCTATCCACAAAATTTACCATGAAAGCTGACAGGTCGCTGTTGCAAAGCAAAACCCGAAAGCTGCGACGTGAGAGAAAGCCGCGTGATTGAGTCAATGCAACAAAGCCACGTCAGAAAATGACCGTGTCACAGTAGGTTGCTGCATCCGATGCTAGGCTGAAATCAAACAAATAGTGCATGAACATTCAATCTCAATTGCAAAGTTCCACACAACCTGCAAACAAAGAACTCATTGCAATCATTACACCTAGTATATACATCATGAATCAGATTACATAAATATACATAAATGAGGCGTGTTTTTCCAGGCTGGAAGACTTAGAGTTTTGTTTCCCCTTGTGCAGCTAATTCGATGCGGGATGCTGTGATGCCGATGCTTTGTACCATGGGAAAAACAAGTGCAGTTGGCGTGTGAAACTGGTGTAGCTGCTAGCAACTTGAAGGCCAAACATACATTAGAAATACTGGATATGCAACCCCATTACCCCCATGATATACCATGATTGGGAGACTCCAGAAGTTGGGGAATTTTCCGTGGTATTCCTGGTATCTTTGCCACCCATTGTCGCCTGGAAGAGGATGAGAGTGACGAAGGTAGCGAGATGGAGGCCGAAGCCGAGGACCCGTTGCCTGATTTTCGGATGGTGCGAAGGTTCGGAAAAAGTCTTTATCAATCTTTATCACCCCAAACAAATTCATGGATCATTGATGTTGCTTGGACATGTCCTCTAAATTTGCCCAGCACAGGGCTTTCAGACTGATTCTTCGAATTTCTTCGCTCGCGGCAGGAAGAACAGCCTTCCGGCCGCAAGCGCTCGCCCGAGCCTCAGATCTCGACAGCATTCGACAGCACTCGCGACGCTGCTCAGCATTCTGAGGTCGAGCTTTTGGTCGGAGCAAAGGCAGGACAACGTTGTAAGGAGTTCGACAGCAAAATTGAAACACAACAGTTCCAAAGTCAAAGGCGTTTCAGCCAACGCCGCTGCAGACTTGAAATCCATCGGATTGAGCACATTAGCATACATTAGCGTGTTCTTCACTTCAGTGGGTCGAAAATTGTAAGCCCCAAATCAATCAGTTTCTCATGAATCAAGTGCAATCCACCCAATCGACCCATTAGTGGATTAATTTTGTATTCCTGAAATTACGCCACGTCATTTTCCGGTTCAGGCCTGCTTCCTGGACATCGGCCAGCGGGTGCCCTGCCATATATAATTGGATTTCCAACAGAGAAGTGACACAATGAGACTAACAATCTTCAACATGGTTGATTCAAACAACAAAGATGGGGTTGGGTCTACTTGAATGATAGTCAAAGTTTTGCGTAAATGTATAAGAAACAAACCGTTACAATATGTTACAATCCAAACCCTTTTGCATGATGCTCTCCATAAACCCGAGGCTTACCACCCGCACAGAAGAAGTGAAGATGGACGGAAGCAAGGCGCAGAGACCAAAGTCAAACGGATGAGGCTTAGAGAATAGATGAGAATGTATATATATATATATATACACACACGTTATATACGTATATATATATAAAATATATATAGAGGGTTTTGTCATGTTTTGTTTGAAGTTTGTTCAATTTCATCAATTTGCTATCTTGTCCACAGAAAAGTCATTACAGATGCTGGCTTTCCCTGCAGGATGCCTTCCGTGGGCAAATTCAAGCTGCCCAGGCCTGTCTGGGATGCCAATGGGATGCCACCAGGTTTCAACTCAGGACATATTTGAACATCAAATACCCCAAAATCATCCCGAAATCCATCGAAATCCCATGTTTGTTTAACATCGTTTGCCATCTTTTTTTCCATGAACATGGCCAATACTTGCGGCCAAATCGACCGTTTCTAGCCACGCCCACATATTCCACATATAAACTTGAAAGGTACATGATCTACCATGCCTCAGGTACATTGTTGTCCATGTAACTGTTCTGGCTCTAGAGCTCGACCTAGGTAAACACAAGACTTCGTCACAAGCGGACAGAGGAAAACAGACATTTGCGGAAACAGTACTTCTTTGTCACTTTAGTTCCTCTATTTTTCGAGTTGGTAGCGGAGCCGGGAACCCCGGCAGTAACCCCCATTTAAGGTATCTGCTATACCCTAAGGGTCGACTCGACTGTTTTCATTTTCTTTTCATCCTTACTCCATTGATTGTCATCATGTTCACCGCCGTGCTGAAGTTGTGTGCCGTGTTAGTAGTGGCACTGGTGGGGTCTGTCTCAGCCAGTACTGGGCTGGTGATCAAGAGTCGCAATACCAGCGCTCTTGTGATCCAGTCCAGTACGGTTGGGGCAGGCTCGATCAGTGTCACTACACACTGGTATGCAGCGAGCAATGGTCGCAAAGCCCCAGTACAGGCCAGGCCCGAAGGCGAGTACAAGCCCAGTCTGGTGAATGGGGATCAGTGGAGGCAGGAGCTGAATTCGACCCTGGTGCGGCTGCACCGCTCAAGGAGGAAGTTCAAAACGAACCCTCGGGATCAGCGTAGGGCAGAGCTTTTGCGTAGGCGACTCAGACGGCAGCAGAGATTAGTGTTTGAAAGAATGCTAAACATGTACGACTCTAAGCTGAAACATCTGAAGTCTCGTCACAAGGAACTCTGTGAGCTGGTCTATGGGAAAGATGCAGCCATTAGATCCAGGAACCAATGCATGACCGGATCCACAGCAGGCAATCGGAAGGTGAAGTCTCCTGAAGCCCATGGCAATTCGGGTTCGATGACCGCTGGTCACCGTGATGATAGATCGCTCTCGGATTCGACACTAATGCTAGCCGCTGGAGGCGGCCTCAGCACATGTGCATTAGTGGCTTGCATGGTGCCAGGAAGGAGTAGCCATCCTAGATTGCCCCCCGCATGGAGCCCAGAAATGGAGCATCAGTATAGCTTCAGTACTTGGTCTAGGGACATCTTGATTTGGAGCATTGCTACCGATGGGGATGCATCTCGAAAGGCGGCTAGTGTGATTTCTCAACTGCAGGGATCAGCCAGGGAATTCAGCAGAACACTTCCGCCGCAGACCATTCTGACAGGGGGGACCGTAAATGGTACCCAAACCGACCCACTAACGTTTTTGATGTATCAACTTAGCACCCGATTTGCCAGGCTCGGTGAGGAAGTCCGGCTAGGGGCAGTAGGAGATCTGTTGTCATTTGGAAGGGAATCCAATGAAAGGATCGACATGCTGCTGACTAGGTTTGATACTACCCGCATGCGTGCGGCAGAGACAGGTGGGCTCGCCCTGAGCTATGCTGGTCTTTCTTGGTTGCTGATCCGTGCCGTAGGTGTCTCGGATTCTCAATTGATCCAACTTCTACAGCCTCTCGGTGGTGCTCTCCCTGCTGATGAGCAGCAATTCACAGGGTTGAAAGACTCCATCAGACGCATGGGTAGGATCATTGAAAATGCACCAGGAAATATGTCCAATATGTTGCGGGGTAGACAACATCCAACACACAGTTACCATATTCAGGACGAGCACTCATGGAATGAAAATGTGTTCACATCTCAGAATGACCAACCCAGTAGTTCATGGCATGACCAGAGTTCTTGGCAATCCCAATGGCATTCATCCGAAGCATACCCCACTTATACACAGCCGCAAGATCCATACGTGTATTTGTCAGAGGGTCAGGGTGACAGTGGCACAGACACTGACACCAGCAGCGACTATGGCGAAGAAGCCTGGCCAGCTGCTGAGGGTGCCACGGCCAATGAGCAGGCTGCCGAGCTCTACTGGGCCTATTCTCGTGCTAAGGCACGCTGGAGGTCATTCATGGGCAAGCCGACCCGAAAAGCTCGGAGGTTTGCCCACAGAGCCATCTACAAAGGTGGAAAGGGTGGTAAGTCAAAACATGGAAAACCCAAAGGCAAGATCATCAATACTTCATCTTATTTGTCCGAACTCAATGAATCCCAGCTCATGGAAATTTTCCCTGCCTTTAGGGCAAAAGGTGGAAAGAAAGGGGCGGGGAGTGGCAAGGGTAAGGGCAGAAAGGGCAATCCAAGAGGCCCGGATGGACGTAAGATGAGATGCCACGAATGTGGTTCGGAAGATCATCTGGTTGCCAAGTGCCCAAGACGGGCTGCAGCCAATGACTCGTCTCAGAACTTGTTCGTAGACTTGGACACCGCCGACCAGATTCCCCCAGGTGTAATCACATCAACCACGGTCCTCATGGTCAATGAAGTAGATGCTAATGTTGGACAAGAATCCGGAACTGATCATTGGTCGACAGTTCTGGTGGACCCCCATCCAATGCATCCACATTACCAGCAGCACCTCAGGACCCGTGGACCAATAGTGATCCTTGGAGGCGGTACACCGAGAGCAGGACTGGGAGACAGGTCATTGGGGGGATTGTGAATCCAATGCCACCACTGCCGCGCACGACCCGGGCAGTGGATATGGCCGATCAATCCTTGTACATGCAGAGTGTCTTCAATGGCCTGAATGGCCTGATGCATCCGACCACAGAACCACGATCCTTCGGACCACCAGTGATGAACCAATTTACCCATAACACCCCACTAGCCACTAATCCGATGAATAATCTTCCCCAGAATAACCCCACTAATCCACAGGGCAGAAATGTAACCAGTGAACCATTTTTACAGCAACCTGTTGCAGAATCGACTACTATCCAAGAACCATATGTTGCCCAAGACACACAACCACCACCAGTGCAACCACCACCGGTCCAGCGGCACGGAGTGCCCCAACACCCACTGATCGTGGGAACAGGGGAGATCCCAACGGTGATCCTACAACATCCGGCCCCGGAGTTGCCAGAATGGGCACTGATGCCCGAGTTTAATTTCTTGCAGGGGACTGCCTCGGAAGTGCGTGCACCGACCTATCATCCGATTGTCTCTGAGAATGCTATCAGCACACTTGACACGATCCGTAGCCAAGTTGTGGGGGAATTTCACCAAGCAAACCAGTTGCGTGAGATCCCAATAGCTTCTAGAGTATCAGAAAGGGTCAGTGAGCCAGCATTCAATCATCCGCAGGTACGTGCTCTACATCATCAGCACCGGACGATGATGACACTGCAGGAGATGAGGACTCGTGAATCGGAAGGTTCGAGGAGTGAGGTGAATCCGGCCCCCACAGTAACACCCTCGAATAATCCCACAGAACCCATGGTAACTCCAAATGTCGGACAACCCAATGCTGAATACTTAGGGGATGAGCATCGCTGTAGCATCTGTTTGGAAGAGTATAATGCAGGGGAACAATTGGTGCGACTGACCTGCAGACATACCTACCATGAGGGCTGTTGGACTGACATCCTATTGAGGGAAGAAAACCCAACATGCCCATGTTGCCGCGGCGGGGGACATGTAGTTGCACACTATCGCTACATTGCACCCACTTCTCCAAGAGAGCAGCAGGATGAATTTAGGACACCACACGGGACACCCACTTTTCCATGGTGGCCGGAGACATCAGAGGCGTCTGGAGCCACATCCACATATCATTCATCCACCCAAGTGCCTGGTCATCAATCAATTGTAGTTGATCCAGGGGCATGGACCAATCTAGCAGGTCAGCAATGGGCTGAGCGCCAAGCCACAGCAGCGCGGAATGCGGGCTTGAGGTCGACGCGTAAGTCCATGACCAACCCAATGGCCGTCAGGGGAGTAGGACAGGGTACCCAAAGCTGTACGCATGTTGCCACATTGCCGATAGCAATACCCAACATCATCCACCCCCGCTCTCAACCGGAAGAAGGTGAAGGTCATTTGGTTAGGGGCGAATCTGTATCATTCAACTTCGAAACCCCCATGGTAGAAGGGGAGGGCCGTGACCTCCCGGCACTACTTGGCTTGAGGAGCATGAGCAATCACAACGCCGTGCTGGAAATGGCACCTGGCAGGGAAATGCTCACCCTCACGGCCACGGGTAGCTATACCATTAGCTGGGGTGCGGACGCGATACATATTCCACTAGAGAGGGCTCCCAGCGGACATCTTGTGTTTAGGACCGACGCATTCCAGAGCATTCCCAGGAGAGGTGGAGGTTTACCCCCAACAGTCTATGGGTTATATAGCCATATGAATCGTCAGTACCAAGAAACTCCAGATGTTCCCATTGGCGTAGCCCCTAGTGATAATCCGTATGCAGATGTCCCCGAAACCCCAGCAGAAGCACCTGCCAGATCATCCACAGAAGCCCCAGCCAGGAGTGCAACACGAACTGGACAACCATCTCCAGTATCACCATCAACAACCCCATCACCTGCATCACCACCACCACTGCCAAAGACAGGACAACCATCATCAGAACCACCTCCAGCACCAAGACCAACACCAACACCTGCACCACCATCACCAATACCAAAAGCAGAACCACCATCAGCAGAACCAGCTCAACCATCGATGCCAACACCCACTGAGAGCACAGAATTTCCACCAGCACCACCACCTGAAGCGACTGTAGCAGCAGTTCCAACATATCTAACACCACAGGCAACAGTGATGACAGCAACAACAGAATCAGACACAGCCAAAGCAACGACTCCGATCAAGGCCATGCCGGCGAAACTTGGTGAGCCTGCAACAGCAGCACCAACAACCACCATGTCAACACCCACACAACCAGCAAAAGCAGCAACGCCAACCATCGCAACAACAGCACCTGCAAAACCGCCGACACCAACACCATCAC